TGTGTCAAGCGTCCGTGTGTGGTTGTGTGTGTCAAGTGTCCATGTGCAGTTGTGCATCTGCATGGCATCATGTGTGGGTCGTGTGTCCATGTGTGGTTGTGTGTTGTGTCCGTGCGTTGTATCTGTGTGCGGTTGTGCATCCGCGTGTCGCTGTGTCAAGTGTCCATGTGTGGTTGTACATCCATGTGTGATTGTGAGCGTTGAGTATCTGTGTGCAGTTGTGCACCCATGTGTGGTTGTGAGTGTGTTGTGTCCGTGTGCAGTTGTGCATCTGTGCGTGCTTGTGTGTCGTGTCCGAGTGTGGTTGTGTGTGTCAAATATCTGTATGTGGTTGTGCGTCCATGTGCGGTTGTGCGTCCACATGTGATTGTGAGTGTCACATGCCCATGTGCGGTTGTGTGTCCGCGTGTGTTGTGTGTTGTGTCACATTGTGCACGCGTGTAAGGGGTGTCAGGGTGAGGGTGTGAGTGCCGGTTGTACCATTGCATGTGTGTCAGTCTACTGGCACAGGCATGAGACACGCTTGTGCGATGGTTGTGCGCTGTGTGTGCATGCAGGGTGCATTCACGTGCTTGTCGGTGTGCAGGTGCAGGTGCTGTGCGCCTGTAGCGTGTGTGCGCACATGTGTGTGCAGGGTGTGAGCACGGTCTGTGTGTGTGCGTGGTGGTCGTGCGTGTGTGCACATGTGTGCAGACATGACACACGTTTGCTCTGTGCAGGGTGTTTGTGTGCGCTGTGGGTGTTGTGTGCATTGTGTATGTGCATGCACGGTGTGTATGTGCAGGTTGTGTATATGCATGTGCTCTGCGCGTGTGTACTGCGGGTGTTGTGTGTGTTGTGTACATGCATGGACTGTGCTGGGGGCGTGCACATGCCGTGGGTGTTGTGTACGTGCTGTTGTGTGCAGTGCGGGTGTTGTGTGCGTCGTATATGTGTGTGCTCTCTGTGGGTGTGCTGTGGGTGTTGCGCGTGTTGTGTACATGCATGCACTGTGTGTGTGCGCAGTGTGGGTGTTGTGCACATTGTATATGTCCGTGCACTATGGCTGTTGTGTGTAGCACAGGCGTTGTGCACGTGCATGCACGGAGTGTGCATGCAGTGTGGGTGTTGTGTATGTGCACAGACTGTGCGCTCCGGGTGTTTGTGCACAGCGTGGGTGTTGTGTGCTCTATGTGCGTATGTGTACTCTGTGCATGAGTGTGCAGTGCAGGTGTTGCGTGTGTTGTGTACGTGTGTGCAGTACGGGTGTTGTGTGCGTTGTGTATATGCACGCACTATGTATGTGTGTGCAGTGCAGGTTGCATGCGTGTGCGTGTGTTGCGTGTGTGCATGCCGTAGGTGTTGTGTGTGTCGTGTATGTGCATGGACCATGCATGCTGCAGTTGTTGTGTGTGTTGTGTATGTGCTGGTGTGTCCAGTGCAGGTGTTGCGTGTGTCATATATGTGCACGTACTCTGTGCATGTGTGTGCTGTGGTTATTGCGTGCACTCTGTGTGTGTGCAACACGGGTGTTGTGTGTGTTGTGTATGCGCATGCACAGTGTGTGTGAGCGGTACAGGTGTTGTGTATGTCCACGCCATGTGCTGTGGCTGTTGCGTGTTCAGTGCAGGTGTTGCGTGTGTGCTGTGGGTGTTGCGTATGTGCACAGACTGTGTGCTGGGGGTGTTCGTGCACAGCGTGGGTGTTGCATGCACTCTGTGTGCGCGCGCGCTGGGGCTGTTGTGCGCGTTGTGTATGTCCACGGGCTGCGTACTGGGGGTGTTTGTGCATTCTGTAAGTGCACGCACTCTGTATGTGTGTGTAGCTCAGGTGTTGCACATGTGGCATGTGTGCACCGCCTGGGCACAGCGTGCACACACCGGACATGTTGTGTGTGTTGTGTACATGCGTGGACTGCACACGTGGCGGTTGTTGTGTGCGTTGCGTACGTGCTGGTGTGCGCAGTGTGGGTGTTACCCGTGCTGTGTACGTGCACGTACTCCGTGTGTGTGTGTGCGCGGCACAGGTGTTGCACACGCTGCAGGTGTGCACGGACCGTGCATGGCGTGCACACGCTGTAGGTGTTGCCTGTACGTTGTGTACACACTGTTGCGTGCGGCGCAAGTGTTGTGTGCGTTGTCTACATGCATGCACGGGGCGGGTGTGTGCAGCGTGGGTGTTGTGCACATTGTACACACGCGTGCGCCATGTGTGTGCGCGCTGTGGGTGTTGTGTACGTTGTACCCGTGTGTATTCTACGGCTGGTGTGTGCAGTGCAGGGGTGTGCGTGCATGAGCCGGGGCTGCCGTGTGTGTTGCGGAGGCGCGCGCAGCGCGGGTGTTGCACGCGTTGCGCGCGCGCGGCCTGTGCATGATGTGCCTGTGCGTACCCCCGCCGCGTCGCACACGTTACACGCACGCACCCGCCGTGCCGTGCACCGCCTGTCCCCCCACCGGGTGGGTGGGTGGGTGTCCGTACGTCCCCCCCTGCCTGTTGCACCCCCCCTTTTCCGCCTGTACACGTATGCGACTGTAGCCTGCGTCACCCCGACCTGCGGGCCGAGGGGTGTCCCCAGCCCCTGGCGCACACTCGGGGAGCGCGGTGACACGTCCGTCACCCGTGTCCGCCTGTGTGCGTCACCCACCTGACCCCACCCTCGCACCCCCCTCCCCCCCCCAGCCTCCTCCACTGCTGCCTGTTCCTTTAACAACACCCGACGCAAGGGCTTGTGGTAGGAAGGGGGCCTCGTGACATCACTCCCAGCCCAGCCAATGAGCATCCAGGTGAGCGCTGACGTCTGCATTCCCCGCTATCCCATTGGCCCACGGGGGGTGTGACATGGGGCGGGGTCCCCCTTTTTCTCTGCTCCCTCATTGGCTGCAGGTGAAAGGTCTTTCCCCTGGCAGGACCTTGGGGGGGAGGGGGGGGTTGTTGG